CCCTCCCTCCCTCCTTCCCTCCCTCCTGTGGTGACAGTGACCCAGGGGTCTTACATTTCAAGATGTTGGAAGCAGAGAGAGAGAAACAGAGAGACAGAGACTCTCCTCTCTCTTCTTTTAAAGCCCTCAAAACCACACCATTGACCACCGTTTTTAAATCCATTCACTACAGCATGGTCCTACAATCTAATCACCTTTCAAATACCATAATAGGATTTCACACCCTTTCAACAGTCACAGTGGGGGACAAGTTTTTAATACATAAAACTTGGGGGACACAATTCAAGCTTCAGAGAGTTTTCAGGGGACATAATTCAATCCACTACGAAGAAAGTATTTATTGACCATGAATTCTATGCCAGACAATATAATGTGCAATTTTTTTAAAAAACTTACAATCGCTGCCTTCATGGAGTTTTTGGTCTAGAAGAGTCAGACATTATTGAAAAGATCATTCAAATATGTATAAAATTACAACTGTCATAAGGGCTAGAAAGGTGATGAATGTTGGTTTCTGAAAATACAAATGATAAGAATTATTGTTGTAATCAAAGGAGGTTATGGATAGTTTTCCTAAGGAAGTGATAGTCAAGCTGATATATGCATATGAATAAGAGTTTACTTGAAGAAGTTTCAGGTGGTCTAATCCAGACTGTGAGAACAGCATTGTACAGAGACTACACAGCAGGAGGAAGTGCTGGAGAGGAAAGTGGTACAGTATGAATATGTTGAAGCAAGTTGAGGACAGTTTATCTAAAGGTTTATATACCATGGTAAAGTTTTTCATCTTTTCCCTAAGAGCGATGCAAATCTGCTAAAAATCTTTAAAGTGGGACAAGATCAGATTTGGTCTATAGAAAGATTACTTTGGCTGCAATGTGGAGATGGGATAGGAGAAAAAGGTCGGTTTCTGGTAGGCTCATAAGGAGCTGGAGCACAGGAAGGCAATGATGAGAGCTGGACATAGTAAAGCAGTGAATAGATATTAGAGTTCTCAACAGGTAAAATCAATAGTGGCAGATCGGATAGGGCACATAAGGCTGGGGGAGATGATGAGGTCACCAAGTTTTATGGCTTATGTAAAAAGATATCATTCATTAAAGCAGAAGACATTAGAAGAGGACTGGTTGACCATGTTAAATTTGAGGTGTTTTGAAACATTTAATAGAAACAATTATGTACTTGAATAAGTCATTCTAGACTCCAGGGCTCAGATACACATCTAGAAACATAAATTTGTAAATCTTGTGTGTAGATGGGGACAATGGAAGTAATAGATGTGGATGGGATTGTTTAGGCAGAAGATCTCAAAGGAGAAAAGGGTATAGGGCCAAGTCCAGTGGATTGCTAACATGAGCTTGGAAAAGGAACTGAGGAAGAGGTTTATGTCATGTCATGAAATCCAAGGGAAAAGAGTATTTATGAGGGAGGGAACAATCATCACTGTCAAATGTTGTCAAGAGGCCTACTTACATGAGCACTGAATTATATCTATTTGACTCAGCAATGCAGAGATTAAGAAGTGCTGTTTTCATGAGTAGTAGAGAGCCCAACAATATGGGCACAAAAGAGTCTTCTCAGAGTGACGAGGTTGTATAGAAATAGAGGCAAACCTTTAGAGAAAATTGACTCCAAAAAAGGCAGAGAAAAAGGGTAGTAACATGGAGTTGGAGGTCATAGAGAGTAGAGGGAAAGGCTTTTATCACTTTGTTTTTATATTAACGAGAAAGAGTTAAAGAATCTTTTAATACAAAAATCTAGTGTTGACAGGATGATGTTGAATACATGAGACAGGAGTTTAAGTACCTGAACTAGAGGGGTTTGGTTGATAAGTTTACTGATGGAGGATTGGCCTTAGAAAGGAAGGAGGACAGCTTCTCTATTGCAAATTGGGATTAAATAGAATAGGCTCAGTAAGGGGTATAGGTTGAGAAGTAGAAATAGTGTTAATTTTAATCTTATATCTTCTATGTTCTCTATAAAACAAAAGTGGAGGTCATCTTCTGAGAATTGGGTGGGGGTAGTGGGAATATTAAAGGTTTCATGAGTATGATGATTTGAAAAATTGTAGAAGCGAGTAATCAAATAAATAAATAAATAAATAAAAAGAAGGGTAAGAAAGAGTGGTTGTCTCTGATCATTTCTGGTTATGTTTATAGAAATTCAGGAAGTTTTAGGGCCGTCTTTATGAATCAATGGTCCTTGGCTTTTTTTCTGCCCCAGTACATCATCTCTAATATAAGGACTATCATATACTCACATCAATCACAGTGGTCTGCTATATCATTGATTGCAAAGGATAGAGTGAACTGCAGAACTTAGAGACAGGAAAGTATGTGCATATATGTTGTGTGTGTATTATGTATTTGTGCAGTTATATTCCCTCCAGGGAGGGTGGCAATTTCTCTTTGAAAATAGAATATCCTAGTGTTGAAAGTGGGCCAGAATTTAAGAATTTATATATAGACATAGGACAAGTAATTGTTATATTTAATAAATATTTCAGTACATACAAAATAATCAGTTCTCTTTTCCTAATTAAACAAATAAATGTCCTTAGATATTTTTATTCCATTATAGAAATTTACCTTGTGATGCTTAGAATTATCCATTATTAAACTCAGTAGAGTGACCATTTCAATTTATAGTCATTTAAATGTAAAACACTTAATTATTTATTAGTAAAATATTTATGAATATTTTACAAATATTCAATCAACATGTTGTCAGTAAATTCCCCCTTAGGTGCAATTTTCTGACTTTAGTTAAGTCATTAAACGCTTTGGGTCACTAGTGCATCAGTTAGCAAGTTACAGATCTGTAGTGCTTTAATGTCCTGAAAAAGTAAATGTACCTTCTGAGAGCCTAATTGAATCTTGGAGAGTTATTATTCACCATTAAGATCAAGATAAACGAGTCAAATCACAATAGTGATACTAAACAGTTACATTCATTTCACAAACACATAAACTAAAGCTCAGAAAAGACAGAACTAGAGAGCTAAGGATCCAGATTAGATTAGATTTTTAAACTGAAAAGACCCAATCCCCAATATGTAGCTATAAGAAATAAACATATGAGCTTGAAAACAATAATAATTATTTTTTGGCAAGTTCATATTCATATAATGTTAAATTCAGTATCTTTTAGTTAATTATTCTAGACTCGTGGTACATATATTAATATGGCTTTCTTGAAATGTAAATAGTATAATTTCAAAAAAGCCAAATTTCAGACTCTTAAGATAAAAAATTTCCTAAAACTGGTTACCCTGACTGCCTATGATAAGGGCTATTTGGACAATGAATTATATCTTGCAAATGGTAAAATTGTTATTAAGCACAAGCTTTGGAGTAAAAACGTAGCTTTAATATCTGACTTCTATACTTTTAATTGAGAACTGAACGAGTTACTTAAATACTGTTAAGTTTTCATTTCACCACCTATGAAATGGAGAGAGAATCCTTGCAAAGAGCTCTTTGTAAGGATTATGTGAAGAATTTTATTTAAATATTTAGTGCTGAGCCTAGTAACAAATAAGAGAGTACTTCAAAAAGTTCATGGAAGGATTCATATTATCATTTAATTCTATTATTCTGTGAACTTTTTGAAGTACCCTTGTGTGTATATATATGGGCTTCGTACACACACACACACACACACACACACACACAGCTTAACTTTAGCTAGCGTATTTTTTTTTTCCTTTTTTGTCTTTTTTCATGTCCAGCAACGGATCGCAACCCTCAGTGTCGTGCCCGTACCGGACCGGGACCGGCAACGGGATTGCAACCCTCGGTGTTGCGCCCGCACCTCACTCAGCCAGTGAGCGAGAACCGGTCTGTATGTGGGATCCGAACCCTCGGCAGGAGCGCCGCCGCGCTCCCAAGCTGCGCACTGTAGCAGTGCGCCACCGGGCCGGCCCTAGCTAGCGTATTTTTTAAATTACTATTATTTCAAGGACTAGATTCATCTAAGTCAGTTTAGCATTTTAATTGCATGTTGCTTTTCATGTCTTTTTTTTTCCCCTGGCCTCAAAAGCAATAAAACAATTTTCTACCCTCTTTCATAAAAAAATATAAAAAGAAAAGAAAAAGAACCAGAAAATGTTCAACAATTTACTAGTGTTTTTCTGGAAGAGGCTTCCCACAGCTTCAATCACAGGCACAGATCATTATTTCAAATAAGATGCATTTTTTAGATATTTAAATATGTACTTTTAAACATCATAGAATTTAAATGTGAAGTCATTTATTCTGTGCTTTATTGTGATTCTGTTATGTGTTTTACATAAGTAAAATCGCACGTGCTGTAGTTGTGAGGGGTATCAGTAAGAATCACACTGAGGAAAGAGTTTATTGCTCCATGAAGGTTTATGCCTCTTTAATCTTTAATTGTTCATTAAAATGTTTCTGAAGTTTATACAGTAGAATCATGGTAGAGACCTCTGCATATGACATTATAACTTAGTGCTGTGAAAGCTCTAACAAACTCACATAGTCTAAAGTTTAATAATATAAATTTTAATGCAGAGAAATTTAAACCAAGGGTAAAATGTCATGTTGTAAAATAACTTACCTAATAATTTACATGTTAACAACATATTGAATGTCTTGGGAACATTTTCCTAGAAAAAATTCTTTATTATGTTTTTCCTTTGCTATTGTGTTAATGATAACTTTAATAAAATGACCCCAGGATAAAAGACAATTTCTTCCTGTGTTATCTGTGTCCGAAATATTCTTCACTGATTTTACGCTCACCAATAATATGAGGAAGGTAATTTGTTTGACTCTGGTGGAGCAAGATTTGCAGTAAGAAATGCAAAACTCACACATAGCTCTTCTGTAAGAAGTCTCTGCAGTGTTTTTCAGTTTATATAAAAAGACTTAATATGTTGCCTGAGGCATCTACTCTTTTTCCTCAAGGCAAACTGAAGTGCCGCAAATCAAATTGCTTTACACACTGTTAATGTATTCTCTTCTCTTTCAATTTCTCAGAGAGCTGACATAGGAATTTCTGCTTTAACCATCACTCCAGACCGTGAGAACGTGGTGGACTTTACAACACGTTACATGGACTACTCAGTGGGGGTACTACTTCGAAGGGCTGAAAAGACGGTGGATATGTTTGCCTGTCTTGCACCATTTGATCTCTCTCTGTGGGCTTGCATTGCTGGCACAGTCCTTCTGGTGGGTCTACTGGTCTACCTCTTGAACTGGCTTAATCCCCCACGATTACAAATGGGGTCAATGACGTCTACTACTCTCTACAACTCCATGTGGTTTGTGTATGGATCCTTTGTACAGCAAGGTAAGAGAAAAAGTATATTTTAGTATAAAAACAGTGATGTGATATTTCAGATGCCATACATTCAGTTAAGAAGGTTCTGTATCTGACATCAATAAGTGTCCTAAAAGGTCCTCTCAGCAATGCTCAGAAAAGAACATTTCCTACTCTCTCCTAGTGGATCTCAAACACAGCAGGTTTCCACAACAATGGCTTGTAGTTTTTTGATGTAAGTTCAATTTCATCAACAAAGGCAAAAGTGAATGTCAAAGGTAAGGTTCATAAGAATCCTCAAGATCAGATTTTCCTCCTCAAACTCTGACTTTCTGAGAAATAGCTCTACTGGGAAGAAACTATGTACTACCAGAGCAGATACTGTTTAATTATTTATGTGTGAAAGAGATGCTAGACTTGTTCTTTGCTCAGAGACATTATTTCATGTATAAAAAATATTCATTGACATTGAAAAGATTTTGGTTAATTTAAAAGACTTTAATTTCTGATGAGAAATATTATGTTTTATCTTTCACTTTAATATTTAATTTTTATCAATAATATAAATTTTGATGCAGAGAAATTTCAGCCAAGGGTAAAATGCCATGTTCAAGTTTTTAAATAGCCTACCTAATAATTTGCATGTTAAGAACATATTGAATACCTTGGGATCATTATCAATGATTTAACTTACAATTTTATTATATTCTAAAGAATGTCTTTGCTTTGTTATTCAATGTCCAATCTGCCTTACTCTTTAAATCTGCCTGATTTTTTGGCTCTCACTGTTACAGAATAGAATAATATTTATTTCACTCCTTATTTGATACTGCTGCCATCATAGAGAATGAAATATTAAGCGGATTGGTAGTTTCTTGAAAATTCTGTACATGTACTGAATAAAAGGAATATGTATTACAATGGAAACATGTGATGCCCTTGCTTTAACATTTACAACTCTCAATAGCATCTTACTTTTTGCTCCCACATATTATTGGACCTTCCATTAAACTTCATTCTTTCTATTCTCATTTAACTAATCAAAGTCTTGTCAAGACTTCATCTCCACTTCCTCACTTCTAATCTATCCCTTAAACTTTTGTAAGCATGCTTTTGCCTCTGCCTTTCCATGTGAAGGGCACTGACTAAAGTTTTACTGTATATTTATCACAGACAATTTTACTCCATCCCTTAATGATTAATTTGGTAAATATTTAATCTACACTGTTAATTTAAGTACAATTTTTCTAGACACTGAGTATACAATGGTGAACAAGACAGTTTTTGTAATTATTGAGCCACGAGTCTAGTGGGACACAAGCATGTAAACTGGAAATTACAATCATGGGTAGAAAGTTCTGTAATAGGGATAAGCACAGAATCTTATAAGATCATAGAGGTAGGGAAGCTCAATATATCACATGTAGCAAAGAAGGCATTTTGAATTAGTACTGTCTAAACAGAGACAGAATTAACTATGTAAAGAGTCTGTTGAAGAAGAGAAGTGGAGAAAAGGAGACACAAATGGTTAGATAGAATTTCAGACCAAAAAGTGAGAGAGAAATGAAGGCAGACTATGCAGAGGGGAGCTGGTAAAGATGAGGCTGAAGATATATTTATTATTATCAGGAGTTTAAACTGATCCTTGGAGAAATGATCAGCGATTCAAAGATATCAAATAGGAAAACGTATGTTCAAATTTTCATTATAAAATATTTCTGGTTATAGTGTAGAGAATAGATTGAAAAAGGCAATGTGAAAAGTAAGACAAATTAGAAGAGTATCATAAAAACTGAGTAAAGATTTGATGTTGCTTGCACAAAGGTAAGGTGGCATTGGTAGTCAAGAGAAGGGTTGTGATGAAATGGAACCAATAGAACTTGATTAACTGTATGGTGGTGTGGGGATCAGTACCGAAGGAGAAAAAGGAAACAAAGTTTCATCCTAGGTTTGTGGATTAGGAAATTATGTATATTGGATGTTAATCTCATTCACTGAAATAAAGAAAACAGAAAAAGCAGATATGATAGGGAAAATGATACATTCATTTTGTTGTGGGTTGAGTTTGAGGTATCTATGAAACATCTAAGATGGTATTTATAATACTTGATTACTGATTTGATATATTTCTCAGAAGTACAGAAGAGACATCTCAAATACACACACACACACACATATAAGATATTGGCATGTAGGAAAAAATTGAAGCCACAAAAGTGAATATCACAGAGTAGTTGGTCTGAACTGCATACTCCTAATTGAAGACAAGGCCTAGGACAGAGCCCTAAGGAAAGAAATGTATAGAGGAACTCTCAGTGGTAACTGAAAAGGAGTGACTAGAAAGATGCAGGTAAAAATCAGAGCATGCAGTGGTATACATACCAAATAAAGATAATATTTACAGATGGAAGGTTTGTGTTAAACATTTCAAAGAATTAAGTAAAATTAAAGCTTGAAAGGTATTTATTGGATTGAGCAATGAACTTGTTTTTGAAGCAAAGGTTTGTCTTTCCTCCATGATGTCTGAGGCTTCAGCCAGGCAATTCAGAGGCTAGAGGCTGCAGGCTTGTTCACTTCACTCACATGTCTGCTGGTTGATGCTGGCTGTGGTCTGTAGCCTCAGTTTTTCTTCCTGTAGGTCTCTCCATGTGGTCTTTCTTCATGAGACAGTTTGTCCTTTCTCACAGCACAGTGGTTGGTTTCTCCATAGAGAGCATCCGCACAAAAGAGCAATTGTGTGGTCCAGGTTGGCAGTCACAAACTTGTATGATGATGTGAACTCCTCTCTAAGGGAACTTCCTGGATGTGCCCACCTCATGGGTTTTTATGAAAATTAAAATGGTCAAAATGGTAAAGTTCTAAGATATAATAACTGATATAAGTGTCACAAAAGAGCCAACTAAATAAATATATTTTCTTAAATTAGGCAGGTGTAGATAGTTAGGCACATGCAAAAAAAGATAACAAGGCAAATTATTCTTCAAGTAGACTATTAGCAAGATAATGGTTGAAAGGATAGATCCTGGGGTACATAGAGCAATTAAAAAATAGAAGAAACCGTAACGAGAATTTGGTAAAGAATAAGAGTAGAGGTTAATAGAGTAGGAGGAGAGAGTAGTAGAGGTCTTTAAGAGGTTAGAGAACAACAGTATAATGTTAAAGAACATCAGTATGAGTGAGTTTGAAGTCTGTATTCATAAAACAGGATAACTAAGCCTAAATTTTTCTAAACGTAACAGTAGAGGATAAGTTATACGGTAAGTGTATGGGTATGGATTCCTGAAGTTAAGAGTTGGTGAAGGGCTTCAAAGCTGATCAAGAAACTGAGAGTCTAGAGAGTTAGATAAACCATCTGTAATGATGTTTGGTTTCGACTGGAGAGAAAGAAAATGATCCAGGTACCAAAGTTGTCAATAAATGAGGAAGGGTAACTAGGATGTTGATAGACGTGAGCATTGACTAGAAGTAGAAAGTGGTTTAGCTAGATGTAATTAGCCTTTGTTTTCATCTCACTTCTTCCCATTCCATTCAATTTTTCTATGCATAGTTTCAACAACCACCAGTGTGTTGATGACTCCCAAATCTACACCATCCATTCTTTGTGTGTGTGTGTGTGTGTGTGTGTGTGTGTGTAACTGGTAAGGGGATCGTAACCCTTGGCTTGGTGTCATCCGCACCATGCTCAGCCAGTGAGTGCACTGGCCATCCCTATATAGGATCCAAACCCATGGCCTCGGCACTCCCAGCACCGCACTCTCCTGACTGAGCCATGGGGTCGGCCCTACACCATCCATTCTTGAACTTCAGATTTGTATGCCTAACTGTTCACTAGACCACTCTCCGGATATACCAGAGGCGCCTCAAATACCAACATGCCAAAACTGAATTCACTTTACACTTTGAACCTTCTTATCCTTTCATATTCTCTATTCCAGCTGATACATCACCAACCTCCCAGACATGTTAGAAACTTTGAAAATACTTTCCATTTCTTCCTGTTTCTTTTCCCTTATATCCAATCATAATCAAATCCTGTCAATTTTACCTTCTAAATGTTTCTAGAAGTAAAAATCTTTTCTCACCTGGAGAGATTAGCCTAGATTGTTATCTAGATTGTGCCTAACTCATTTCTCACCCATGCTATAGGAGTCTCAGAATAGGTCTTTCTTCTTCCAGTTTTATCCCTGCAAACATATTATCTACATACTAGCATATGTACTCAAGATATGAATACCATGGAAGGATGGCCACATAATTCCCATACTTCAAGTATTTCCTTGGCTTTCCAATGCCTACAGTTTAAAAGCCTGAGTGTTTTAGAGCATGAACTGTATTCTACTGTCTGGCTTCTGTCCAATGCTGGACTCTCATCTCTTATCACTCATGCTTCACATTTAATTATCCAGCTACTCCAAACTGTTTTTTATCCCTTAGACATAAAACAAGACTGTTTATTGCCTCTCCACTTTTGCTTCTTCCTTTATTACCAACCTGGTTAATCTCTACTTCCACTCCCTGCTTTTATATGGCAAGTTCCCATTCATACTCTAATACTTGCTTTGATCTCACTTCTTTCAAGAATTCTCTGCTGGAATTTGGAGCCATCTTCTATGCTCCTCAAGATATATTTATCATAGTACTTACCAACTATAGTGCAATTGTCTTTCTTTTTTCAGATATCTACACGTGAGTCCTTTGAATGCAAGCTAGTATTCTATTTATCTTTATAGTCCTTTTGCATATAGTTTAGTGTCTTACACATATTGAGTTTAATAAATGTGTACTGATCGACTAACTGAATGAATTCCTAATACTTAACAAAACAAAACCTGAAGTTAACTACAAAATTGTGTTTATTAAATTACAATATAAAATATAAACTTTATCAAAATTGTCACACTATGACCCAAAATTCAAAACCAAAGAGGTATTTATTTGTAAGGTCCCTACTAAGTGTATTTCATAAGAAGCTCAAAGGAGAAACTTATGAATAAGATCTTCTATTGGTTGAAGGCTGTTTTAATTTGTTT